GGATGCGAAAAAGGGGGGAATTGTTGAGATGTGGAATGGACCAAAGCTGTACATTTGGGGAACGAGTGTCGATAAGGTAAGCTTGCGAGATGTATTCACGAAAAGTTAACTATTACGGCAGACTGCAACGAGTACCCCTGGGTCATAGTGCAAATTTGAATTCAAAGCGAAGCCAGGCCTTAGTTATATCACTTTCTGTGATGGGGTTGTCGATTAAGCGGATTGGTATTTGCTTACTACTTATTTTCGTATATGAGTAGGCTTCGAGGCTGGTAGTTGAATTTCCCCACAAGGAAAGGTGAGGCCTACTAATATTACTGTTGAAGATTGAGCTACAGGTCCTTCATTAATTTAAGAGAAATAGCGCGAATACTCTTTATATATATGATTTATTGGGAGTCTTGAAATTTAATTATAAACGAAATAAGTAAGATAATATTTGCAACACAACCCAAACTCACTGCCAATGAGTACTCAGTAAACACCAGTAAGTTTTGAATGGGAATGTATCAATCCCTAGTCATTTAAAGGTGTTGGAATTGCTAGAATAGCTAAACATCAGTCTTAACATCAGTGTGACACGACTTTCCATTTCGAATGAAAGGTTGGTTGGAAGGAATTCATGCTGCAGTTTCACCTGAAACCGAAGGGAGAACTGTTGAATTGTGCAAATAGGTCCGCGGCTCACCGTCCTGCTACCACGATCAAACTGTGCTAAGCTTTCGTATGCACTACAAGCAGACATCATCAGAGCAAGATTCTACATTTTACGAAATAGAGCAAATAGATTTTTGAAAACGTTATTCAGCGAGGCGGGAGCATGCTTACCATCAAAGGCTTGAGACAGAGTGTGGGAAATTACGCTTCGAGTAGCACAGATAGGCTTGCAGAGGTCGAGTGAAATATCTGAACCTGGAAGGTAGGAGGCAGATCCAACGGGGTAAGAGGGAGACCCTGATAGGGCCTATGGGAAGAGGATTGCGAACTAATATGGTAGACTCAGAGTAGCATTCCCAGCACAAGGGTAAAGGGGGGTGAGGGGCTGAGAAAGCCAGTGTAAGGTGTGGAGAGTTCTCATGAAATCCGCTCAAAAGGGGACGACATGCAACATTTAAATAAAAAATTGAGAAATTGTGATAGTGAAGGGGTAGTACAAGGAGATATGAGAGATGAATAACCTAGTGCAGAAGGAGAGATACCACAACTGTCTAGCAGATAATTGGCCAAAGGATAGATTTCACTTGTCTCTTTTACGAGTTGTAGTGTGGTGCTAATACTGGGACTGCTCACTGACGATACGGACTATGATGCCGGCAAAATGTCTGAGAATGTACCCGGTCCACGGTCTGACGCTGGTAGTTATCATGTATTCTATGGATTCCGGACAACATGCATTCCCCTGGGTCTTCCTGCAAATATGACCAAGTTACGAAGACAAGGTCACACCATCCTGGTCTTCATACAATGTAGAGTAAGCTTGAAGTAGCCAACCTAATCATGGGATGCCTCATTAAGTTAGGAGTCTAACAATGTGAATAGGGTTGCAACCGGCCACCTCTTCTCTTGTTTTAGCATATTTTTGCTCTATTTCGTAAAGTGTGGAATCTTGCTCTAATGATGTATGTCATAGTAAAGACGAAAGCCTAGCACAATTTGATCGGGATCGTAGGACGGTGAGCTGCGAGCTTCTTCACACAATTCAACAGACTTCCCTACTCTGCAATCCTCATCCGATTTCTGGTGAGATCACATCACGAATTCCTTTCAACCAACTTTTTTTTCGAAATGGCGAGTGATTTCGCAATATATCAATAAGGAATACTTCGCAACTCAGTTTTTCTTCATAGTCTTTACATCAGCATTTGTCACTAATTTTGACTACATTTTTGTCCTAAAATTAATTCCAAGTCTAAAGGTAACCGCTGGCCCCCTCGGGACGTCTTTCAATTCACTTTAAGTATTTTGTACCACGAATCGTCTGGAAAAATACCAATTCCACGGTCCGGTGCTGGAAATTATCATGACTGCTATGATAGAGTACGTTAGATGGGGTACGTCGCACTGGTAACACGACTGTTGTGGAATTGAGTTCTCAAAAGTTCTAAATAAATAAAGAAGACTTCAGTTAAAATATAGACCACACCAGTTTGGTGTTTATGACTTTGATAAAGCTGTCTCCTGGTGTAGACAACACTAGCATACTCCTACATTTTTGACATATATTTGTTTATGTGGAATTGCATATTGTGTGTATGAAATTCCAAAGTATACGAAGAAAAGTTGGGTTTGGATGAATCTCTTGTTTCATAATTGTTGAGCTTACTTCCATTTCGAGTGCTGACGCTGTTTCCTAGGCAATCTCCTTCGATTCCGATGAAAATGTGCTAAGTTTTCGTCCGTCATATTACGGACGGAAACAGCGTCAGCATGAATGTTCCAGTAAAGCCAATCGACAGCTAGTCAACAGGAATA